CTATCAGAATCAAACGAGGTCTATGAAATTTGGCGCGGCCCAAGCCGCTTTTCCACCAACTGTAGCTGTTTGCCAGCTTTCAATTGGAGGAGACTGGCGCCGCGCCAACGTGAACCCCTTGACGCGCCCCATCATCCCCAGCGAACAAGACTGTATGTCTCATCTGTGGGTTAGTTTGATAGATGCAGACATAAACTTGTATATCTTTTACGTGCTCAAAAAGGAGACCGCCTTAGTAGCAGACCTATTGATGGGTGGTATTGACTGGTCTATTGATTAGTGAATGACCGATCGATTTCAACCGCTCACCCTTCCTTTGCAAACTGTGTCCATTTCTCGCCCATTTGATCCGCCACACGGCGGTCATCTGATGTTGGCATGGCGCCAGCGCCCGAGCTCCAGACCGTCTCAGACATGAACAGGAAGATCGTGTCTTGTCCTTTGTAAACAGCTGAAAAAACATATTTGACACTCTCCCAACACCTATATACTTAACCACTGTGACTTTCAGCTCTTTCACTCCCTCGTAGTCCTGCCATTTCATTTTCACTTAGCATTTTTGAACCCACGCAACTCTCTCTTGAACTATTCTACTCTTTACACATTACCTACTTCTTAGCTGTCCCGAAAACTGACCATTTATCGGATGCACCTTAGCCGAAAGTTGAAAATTTCAGTAATTTTTGCCCACTTGAAAAAACGTCTTCAAGTTCATACCAGCAGGAGCTCAACGTAATGTTGTCTATCAGAGCCGGTGTTAACGGGTTACTCACGTTTCCATGATCCCGTATCGGGCACATTTTGTCGGCCAAGCTCTGTCACATGCGTGAACTGATACACTCTAACGTATTGGTTAAGGAACTCTGCCTTTTGCCACGGCGAAACCAAGACCGTGCGTTCCGATTGTCAGTAGCGTTTGAGATCAGTACCCGCTCGGAAGAAATCTGCAAATAATCGATTATCGATTAGATTTGGGCGCAACGCACGTGAGCACATTCATATACTAGCCTGAGAAATGGACTTCAGAGACGCGATAGTTTGGGGATTATTGACTGCCGACTGAGTATTGAACCCACCTGAACGAGCAAACAAAGTGTTGGCTGTAAAGTTTAGAGCTTGGCAACACCATGGCAAGGACGCCAGCGGACAAAACGCCCGCACCGTTCCTCGTTGCAGGCCTGCCTCTATAAAAATGTGGAAATAAACAAAGTTAAAAATTATTGTGAACTCACATTTTGATCATATTGCACACACCGAACTGGTTGGCAGAACCTGCTTGGTATTGATTGCTGCCTTTTGTGATAATTGAGCAGAGTCCGAGCTGCGACTGTAGCCTCCATTCTGGTTAACGTAGCCGTTGTTTTGGTTGGTGTAGCCGTTGTTCTGATCCGTGTATCCACCATTCTGGTTAGGAAAGCCGTTGTTTTGGTTACCGTATCCCACGTACTGGTTACTGTAGCCATTGTTCTGGTTACTGTAGTCGACATACTGATTGCCGTAACCACTGTTTTGATTAGTTGAGCCGATGTTCTGGTTGGTGTTACCGTAGGTCTGGGTGGGGTATCCCCCAGCAGAGTTTCCATTACCTCCGTTCAGAGGACTAAATCCGTTCTGGTCATAGTATATAGGATTTTGGTTCCCATATGCGCTCGTTGGATTTTGGCTGCATGGCACACAACCGATATTCTGCTGACATTGACATCCCGTCGGGCTATTGTAGGTGTTACCGTAACTGGCGCTATTCGTCTGATATCCACTGTTGGGCATCTGATTGCCGTTGTAATTGAACTGTGGAACGGATGTGCTGAAAATTCGCAATCAGTCGATCAATCAAAGAGGTGCAGACTTTGCGTTGACGCGCTGTGACGCGCATCGACGCGCCGCCATTAATAGTGCTTCAGTTCTAGACCTCGACGGGTATCGAATCAAACGGCCGCTAGTGGTTTGAGAGAGTACAGGTGAATAGGAGGGTACTAGAGCCAATGCGTTCCTCCGTATTCTTTCAGTTGCGATGGCAGCGCGTCTTGGTATCCAGACAAAATTAGGCGCCGTTTCGCTTCGGGGGGGGGGGGGTGCCGAATGTTACTGAGCTAAGCTTGCACGAGCCACCTTTTATCGCCCTATAAGTTTCTGTACCAGAGGGGCTGACTTGTAGCATTCCGCAGCTTCACAAGTAATCATGGTTCATGTTCAGTGACTGCTCTCCCCTTCAGTGAGACCAGTCACTGAACATGAACTAACAAAACGAAGCAGCGGAAGTGCAAATCCCCCTCCTCCAAGCGAACAGCGCCCAAAATCATTTGGATACTTTGGTTAATGAGGATAATTAGTATTATTATGATTAACTCTGAAAAACTTACCTAGAGTCGTACAGGGGCCCACTTGGAGTAACATTGTAGTTCTGTGATATAATTTGAGAGACCTAAATTCCTTAATTTTAGGCTCCAATATTAGAAGTCCGCAGGGGAAACAGAAAAAACCCGATGGCTGAGGAAACGTTAGAACGACACCTAATGGATCATCGATGTGCATGCAGTTCATTTCTGAGAGCAAGAAGGGGTGTTATCATGACACTGCCTGTTTCCGTACAGAGTATTCTACACATGTCGCTGTCTCCCTTTCTAGGGAGTGCCTCTTTGTGCACAAATACGGGGCACACATTGATGCGTGAAAGTAGGGGTCACTGCTCCTTCTATCGAAGGGGATTTCTAGAATTTCTCTTAGCTCCATCAAATTTACTATCACATGGGTTAAGGTAATTGGGAAGGGGGGGGCACTACTGGCCACTTCGTCGCGCTCCTCTGCATCCTCTATCCAAATCCGTATGGAATGGCCACATATGTCGCTTCCCCACCCGCAATCGAACTTCAGCACGAAATTTGCTTGAGGCAACTCGAAAACTATATCGAACGCTGTTTTGGTGAGAGGGCGCAGACGACCATGTAAGACTCAGCAGTCGCGTCGCTGCGTGTCCCCCCATCTCTCGACTATATTTGCAATTATCTGTTACTATATCGGTGTCTCCTTTCTCTCTGCTGTCTGCCCTTACTTCTGCATCCTCGCCATCCCGCAATCTGCCACCTATCACTGAACACTGCCCGTATACTGGAGAACCCACCTGATTAGCAGTACTTGGATTGAGTCGGTTTTGACGGGCGAAATCCAACATCCAGTTGTTGAACATTTCTCCTTGGCTCTCGTTTGCTTCACCAGTTGAAATAAGTTTGAAAGCTTAAGAAAACAGCACATTGCAGTATGAGCTGGATCACATGAACTTTTGCTAACCGTAAAATCAGCATTCTCATCTTGGCACGTGCAATAATAACTGGAATCCTGTGAGACGGCGGGTGCCGGGCAAGAGTTACTTCGATGATCATCAGGGAAGGTGTCATTCACGTACTATATCAAGATCCGTCGTAGTCGTCTTTGAACCGGTGGCATATTACAACAGAAAGACTTGCTGGCGCGGGCCCGACTGCTGCGACGTCGGTAACACCGACGCTTCGCTGCGCCGTCCTTACGTGTCTTGGAGAGAGACAAGAGTCTGTCCTGATTTGCGGACGTAATGAAGCGAATACGTGGCGCACTGCAGACACACATTGCGTAGAGTAATTGACCGCAGTTCGTTGGAAAACTGAGCGTGCTTGGCAAAAAAGGCCACATACGAGCGTTAGCATTGGCGACTTTTGTGCATAGGAGGTGCACCTTTGAGCAAGTAGCAGTCCTACGAGCCACAACTAACGCAAGCTTGACTGTTAAGCGGTTGGTTAGTCGCACCCGTCGGGCACTGCTATGTCGCAGCATGCCTCGCGTGGCGGGGGTGCCACGCTGGCTGGCGCGAACGTCGCAGCCATCACGAACGAGCTTGTGTTGCCTGAGCTCGCTCCACAGGTATCGGACCAATCCACTGTGGAATGTTGGTCGAGGACGCCATGAATTACATGGATCCCTTGCTCCAACTACAACTCATGGGAACGCTACCGCAGCTGTGAAATTGCCGCGCCATTCTCCGCGCGCGACCAAGCGCGTACCCAAACTTGCTCAAGGTGAAATAGCCCGTCTCCCGCCTCGTGCATGAATTTGGCTATTTGCCTGAAAATAACTTACTCCTTCAGTTCTCACAAAAACGTCAACGGTGTAATTGTGCAGGCAAGTTCCTCAGGTTGCCAACATCACCTCGTTGCCATTGATTGGGCGAAATATTGCACAACTAAATGTTAAACGGGTTACCACTGTGAATAATTAAATTACAATTTTAAGAAAACAGGCGGGATACAGTAGCCTGAACTGCGCGTAAAATTGAGTCATAGGAGCGCCAATGCACACAATACCACTCAATTCTCGCCCATTCAGCATGGGTGGGGAGTCGGAATAGGACGCTCTCGCTTAATGGCAACATTCTTTCCCGTCCCTTTTGAAGCTGCTTTCCTGTTTTCTTCAACTTATAATCTTGTCTAGTAATACTTCGGAAAAATTCAATAAGGCATACCTGCTGTGCGAACTGCTGACTGGGATCCGATACGTCGTACATCACATTACCTGCATTATATGAACTACCCGGATCGTTGTAGACTGAACCCTGATTCAGGGGCATCTGCTGTTGATAGCCGCTATTTCCTTGATTGTTATAGGTGGAAGGGCCTTGAGTATACGGTGCGCCAGCGTCGTACTGTAACACAGGCATCTGTGTTGTTTGCGCTAAGACGTTCGTGCCCAAGTCGGGTGAATAGCAACTCTGGATCGGTCCGCTTTGTATGATTCGCTTGGTTGAAGAGGTCTGAAAGATGAGATTTTCCCAGTGGATAGTGCACTGACAACGGAGCCACAGTAGTTATGGGTCTTATGGGTCTCCGCCCATTTAATTATCGTGAAACTGGTCATTTACAAGTTCTTGAACCATAATGCTCTACACAAAGGGCAATGTCTCATAATAAGAGATCTTATCAACCCCTCCAGACTGCAGAAGCCTTCCGCTGGGACTAATCGTTCATATTGCAGACATATTCCGCGTAAAGCCGGTGTGGGCCCCGAAAAAAGGGCAGGGACTCACATCCATTCCACCTCCTTCCTTCGTGCAACCCTGCTTCTTCCTATGGTATAAAGGAGGAGACCGCCACCAAGAAAGGCGCTATGGTTGTGAATCCCCGCCCATTCGGCTATCCTGGAAGGTTGAACTTCGTTGCAGTGTTTTTACAAAAGCGATTTGAGGCAAATTACTCTGCTTTAGCTTAAAGTAATGGTACGACCACTCATAGTTTGGGTGTATTACGTGAGCCCCAAGTGTCGAACGTAGCCGTTTGCCCCATTCTGACATGTCGAAGGAATGGAGATACAGGAACACGTCTAATTTCTCCATGCTCCACCACCAAACTTTTTGCGGCGCAAAGCCTTTATGCTACTAGCCGTCCGCCGGCGGATGTCGCGCGCAGCGCTCTTGCCTTTGCCAAGTTTCTGCAACTGCGCTTTAGAGTAGAAGGTCATAGCATTTTCCTGATGCGGGCAAACATAGAGGTGCTGCAAAATTAGGGACGAAGATGATGAGCATAGGGCCAGAACTCAATAAGCAACTCTGCTGCTTTCTGACATATTTCCTCGACCAAAACATCCCTACTATATAATCCGCTAAGTTTGTCTGTTGTGTGTGTGTGTGTGTGTGTGTGTGTGTGTGTGTGTGTGTGTGTGTGTGTGTGTGTGTGTGTGTGTGTGTGTGTGTGTGTGTGTGTGTGTGTGTGTGACCGGAAATTCATAACTTTCTTCAAAATAGCGATAAAGCGCTCAAACTTATAAGTGATGTAGGGGGTCGGGCAGGAACACTGTTGGTGGGTGGCAGGAAGTGATAGCCAGTTGATAAGATACCATACCGGGGCTTAGAAGGGGAGGGTCACCAACTCCATAGCGCGGGCCACAGCAGCGATGGGGCGTTGGTTTCAAGAGGTAAGATAGGGTGCAGGATGGGAACATTATTGGTGGGTGACAGGCCATGATAACAGCTGATAAGATACCACAAGGGGCTTAGAAGGGGTTAGTTGCCTAATTCGTAACGTCGGCCACAGTAACGACCGGGCGTTAATTCCAAGAGGTAAGATAGGGTGCAGGATGGGAAATGTAATTGGTGGTGGCAGGAAAGACAACTGCTAATAAGATAATATAAGGAGCCTTCAAAGGGAAGATGGTGTAAGGACAAGTGGGCCGCTCACATTCGCCGGCGGTCTCGGGTTCGATGTCGCCGGGTCGACTCCAACCAAGCCACCCAAGCCTTCTACCTCGGAGACGGTAAATTGTAGCGCAGATTCGTTCATGGAGGATAAAACACTGACTTGTACATCGGCTGGCCCCGCAAGTCATTGTATAGGCCACATCGCATTCAATAACCCACTACGATTCTGAATGGAAGTAGAATGCGTGCCGCATCCCACAAAGGGATTGATCAACGGCGAAGACTTTATCCTTTATCCTTAGATAGGGTGCAGGATGGGAACATTATTGGTGGGTGACAGGATATGATAACAGGTGATAAGAAACCACAAGGGGCTTAGAACGAAAGGGTCAACTTCATAGCGCTGTTCACAGCGGCGGTAGAGCGTTGCTTCCAAGGAGTGATGTAGGGGGCAGGATAGGATCATTGTTGATGGGTGGCAGGAAGTGATAACAGCTGATAAGAAAGCATAAGGGGCTTCAGAAGAGGAGGGTCACCACGAGACAAGTTGAGTGAACTAGATTTTGTAGCCCAGAATCAATGGGCAAAGCATGGTGGAAATAAGATGTTTTTATTCTTCAGCGATGTAGTTGGAACGACCGCTAAATCCACGATTTCGACAAAAAGTAATAGCTCAAGATTGTTTGCCATTGAGGAATTATATATGCTATTGATATATGAAGCTGCTCGTTTTGGAAGTATACTCGTTATTTCAGCTAGGATTTCTGAAAATTGAGTACTATCGAATCTTCTTTCCAACTCACTAGGCTGTCCTATTCCAAACAAATGGTGGGTGTTCTCAGATTTTGATAAGCAGCCGACACTGGCAAATGTTCATTAAAAAAGAGAAATGCAATACAATCGGCCGTATTTCGAAACATGGGAATTAAGCCAAGTGTTAGTGGGCAACACAGTAATC